TTGAAAGAGCACTTATGCTGCCTCCATCTAGCTTTAAAATCATTCTTCGTGGACCCAATGTATATCATATTAGTACTAGGACTCTCAGTGGATGATATAGTACATTGGTATACCACAGATTTGATGCAGCATTTATTTTCTAATGGGCAGTCTTCTGGGTTTCAACAATTGCACAATAGCAAAATTGTCCAAATCGTGTAACTGCATCATCGTTCATCCCCCCCCAAATCTTTGACATCTACAAATCACTAAACTAATTCAGCTTCTTTTTCCAGGTTTTCAGATTTGACGTTTAGCCAGCTTAAGGCCATTTGTCGTAAGAATCAACCCTTTGAGCTCGAATGACAAGAGGCTAAAATCGTTTTGTCTCCGACCCACTGTCTTCCTAACTGAACAATGGTGAAAGGAAAAATTCATCCAGGCCTTCGGTAATGGTACCAACATCCATCCTCTGATTTCCATCTTCAAAGTCTATTCAAGAACCACCAAGAGAACGATGAATAAGTTTTAAAAAAGAGGGAAACAGTAGAGAGGAAAACTGGATCAGGAGGTCACAACAGCAAGAGGGATCATCATTTCAACTTAGCGCTAAAGAGATCAATAACTGGGGAAATGTTAAGTGGATTCCTACCTTTCCCAAGGGTATTTCCACGTAATTGAATATAACAAACACAACTGCAATTGGAACTCGTCTCCCCGACTTCCAATTACGAAACGTTATCCATTATACCACCCGCACATCAAAGCTTACAGCGCTTAATATTCTCAAACGGCCACTGGTCTACGTACTGAGCAAGCTCGATAACTCCAGTAAGATACCTTTAATCATTTCTAAGATATAACAGTTCAAAGCTTAATGTTCATAAATGAACAATTTTGCTTTTACACGATTTGTATATATATATCCAAGTTTTAAATCAGACTTCCCTATCTAAATATTTTTGGCATTTGAAGGAAACAAATAGGACACCTAAAGCTAAATGGAAAATTAACAAGGCTAGAACATGTAAAACTTGGGATGACCCATGCCCTTTATGCCTCCATGAGAAATTGCACATAATTAAGCTTCTAAATAATAATAATCTATTAAACAATAGACACGAGTTAACGGTTTTTTGTAGGCATCATCAGATTTTTGGTTTGAACTATTAGCTAAAAACTAGCATACAATATAACATGTTTAATCCATAGCCCACTCATCAGATTCATGGTTTGAATAATTAACTAAAAACATGCATACAATATAACACCCTTTATAATCCATAGCCGAAATAAATAGTTTAAATACCCTACAAAAAAGATAACCCTTTATGAAGTCGTCAAAAAACAAACGTTACGACAGTTTTTTTGTTTATTTTTTTTTTATATGCACAAATCCCTTTCATAAAAAAATTGAATAAAAAAATAAATAAATCTCCATAGACATGCAAACTAGACGAGGGTGAATACATCTTCCGTTTCAAATTTAGACACGCCCACCTTTCACTGACTTGACATCTATGAAAGTAACTCTATACTGATACTTATTATTAACACCCAACACCCGCCTACCCAACTTAAACAATTCGCCCTAGCTGTTACCATGGAAATTTTGATTTCAATTTTTAAAACACGTAAATTTCAGAAACACGTTATTCCAAAAACAATTTCGCTTGAAGATGGAACAGAGCTTATTTTAGCTCAATTTAATTTAAATAATTTAAATAATTATATTGAAGTTTTCGGCTCTTGTTTTGAAACATGGGACTTCTTATGTCGCAATTTGGAATCATATTTTTAAATAAATAATTATATTTATGCTCTACTTTTGTATCGAGCACTATTTTTTAAAAATAATAACTAAAATACTAAGGGACTTTGGATTATTTACCTAACCAGTTCTTCCTATTTTCTATATATTTTCACACACACACACACACACACACACACACACACATATATATATATATATATATATATATATATATATATATATATATACAGGGTATGAAGGATAAATTGTCGACATTTTATATTTTTAATTTCACGGATTAATTGCTTTTGATTTTGTCGACTGCACAGTATAGTAAGGTCAGTTGGGCACCGTCTGCGAGAAAAAGAGCACCATGATTCGGTTACGAAATCTGAGATTGAAAAAAGAAACAATTCTGTAACGTCCACTATCCAGAACAACCTATCCCATCAAAACTACATCCAAATAATCACAGGCACATCCAAAACTATTGTCAGATCTTTTAAACCATAAAAATAATTTCAGAAGCAGGCATATATAAAATAAATTACCGAACTGTTGCTCAAAATACATTGGAGAAACATGCAGAAATGAAAAAAAACATCTATAAACCCAAAAGAGACCTTATAAATATCAATTTGACAAATGCACTGGTTATAGATAGAAATAAATGAAACCACAATTTTGATTTTAAAAATGCTATATTAAAAAAAACAAAATAATTCACTCAGAATGAATATCTTCGTGAATGCTGCCATTGTATATTATCCAAATATTAATCTACGCCCAGGTTTTTCCCAATATCACCTTTCCTAACAGAACCACTACTCTCCAACGCCAATATACACAACAAATATATCAAGAAATCAAAAGAAAACGGTTGATGCCGTCAACACAACAATACAAACAATATTTCTATATATGAAAATTCTCTTCAAATATAAAAAAGAAATGACATAATTTTCCAGTTGACCCAATGAATAAATTAATAGCGTTTCATATAACGATATATAATTTGCTATAATTTTATATATCAACAAACATTATTTCGAAAAAGATGACAAACTGGAAAGGATTTTTTTGTGACGCGTTTCATCCGTTAAAATTGGTCTTTGTTGTCGCTGACACGTCTACACATGCGCACGAATATGCACGGAGCATATTGAGGTCAAGTAAATAGGGGAGAGCAGCGAACCACTTATCCAATGATCTTGTATGAATAGATGAGGAGTAAAGGGATTTAACAAATGAAGCAAAATCTGCTATAAGTCACACAAGGTAGGAAGTTGTAGAGAGCCATAATACTCTATATCCTGAAGGTACGCAACACATAGAAAAGAAGAAGAATTTTCTGAAAAACTATTTCAAGAATAAGACTGTAAATTTTAACTGACAATAACACTAAATGATCCAACAAAGAGTGCTGAACGTTTTCTCTTTGATAATTTTAGCATTATCGTTTTAATTAAAACATAATTCAATAATACTTTATTATATTTCTATCAGTTACAAACATTTCATATATCCGTTTATATATATATATATATATATATATATATATATATATATATATATAAAGAAATATAGTCTTAAGGTGTGCTATATTTATGGAATAAAGTGCTCAATATCAGAAATAGAGCGTGTGTAAATATAAAAGTGAACATAAAGTCAACACTTAGAGGCGACAGTCTGTATAGCATGAAACAGACTGTCACCTCTAAGTGTTGAATTTTATGTTCACTTTATATATATATATATATATATATATATATATATATATATATATATATATATTTCCGAGAAGATAGAATCCAGTTAGAGCTCAATGTCCAGGACAGGCTAGAATATGATATGAAAGTCTCAAACATTAATATTCCATGGTTATAATTTATTACACTGGAATCTTAATCACGATGAATTGGATTATGATTACGATTCCAATGTAATCTGATGAATTATGTCGTGATTACGATTCCAATTTAATAAATAATAATGGAATATTAGTGCTTGAGACTTTTATATTATATATATATATATATATATATATATATATATATATATATATATATATATATATACTGATCCAACATAGAAATAAATTCAACCACAATATTGATTATATAAATGCTAAACTGATAAAAAAGAAAATAATTCACTCAGAATGAATATCTTCGAGAATGCCGCCAATGAATATTATCCAAATATTAATCTACGTCCAGGTTTTTTCGCAATCTCACCTTTCCTAATAAAATCACAATTCTCTCCCACGCCAACATACACAGCAAATATATCAAGAAATCAAAAGAAAACAGTTCAATCCGTCTTCGCAACAATACAAACAATCTACATATGGAAGAGTCTTCAAACATAAAAAATAAATGACGTAATTTTTCAGTTGAATTAATGAATATATATGAGTGTTTCTAAATTCTTTTAGTAACTAACAGCATTTCTTTTTTTGATTACAGGTAATTTGTTCAAATAAATTCAATTCGTTATTTGCCTTGAAATAGTCCGCAGAGGACGAACGCTTTTGCTAAAACTACATACATTTTTACAATTGTCTATTTTCCTTTACACACACACACACACACATGTATATGTGTGTGTGCGTGTGTGTGCGCTCGCGCGTGTGTGTGCGTCTGTGTGTTTATTTTGGTGTAAGATGATATGGCGAACCTGATTCTGAGCCATTATGTTTTACACCACCCACACCTACAAGTATACAACAGCGGGCATATCAAAACTTGTAATCCATTGAGTTACTGACCTGGCTAGACGGTACTTACTTCATGATGGTACGATAACAGACTTTTTAACGTTATATGACCGCAAGAAGGAGATAGATAGATAGATAGATAGATAGATAGATAGATAGATAGATAAAGAAAGTACTAAGATAGGGAGACAGATAGATAGAGAGAGATAGAGAGATAGTCTAGTATGGCAATAACTGTATTTTAACTTTTACTCGCGTCTTCTTTCTCTGTTTTCATTTCTTATATTTATTCATTTTATTTTTTAACTCTTGATTTTCAACTGAAAGACGGAAAAATACGAGGCATAAAAACATCAACTTGAAACTTCAAGGAAAGTAGGCGCCACTGTGACTAGAAAGAACGAATGAAAAATATACTTTCTGGTTTTCAGTTTGACTTTTCTGTCGGCATTTTGGAATCCATCGAGAGGATTGCTAGTACCATTTTAGGGTTTATTTGGGTTTTTTTCGTGCGAGGATGTTTGTCGATCTCATTGCATGATTCATTTAATGCAACAAATTACAATCCAAAAAGGTATTTCTCTCTCTGTCTCTCTCTCTCTCTCTCTGTTTCTCTCTCTGTCTCTCTCTCCCTATCTATCTATCTATCTATCTATCTATCTATCTATCTATCTATCTATCTATCTGTCTCTGTGTGTGTGTGTGTGTGTGTGTGTGTGTGTGTGTGTGTGTGTGTGTGTGTGATGGAGCTAAACTATAATTCCCAATGTTAAAGGGATTTTAGAAGTAATTTTTTTCAAGTTTATTCCTTGATTCAGTTTTTGCACAATTAGATACTCGTTTATATTGATTGATTTGCATTTTTACGGCTTATCAACCCTTTTCAGGTTATTTAAAGCTAGAATATATTTTTAGAATATAAGAATATTTATTTGGGGCGGGAGGATATAATAAATATTTACTGATTCAAGTCCTACTAAAAGGCAATGTTATTCCCAGATAATAAATAAAAAGAGGAACCTGTGGAGAGTCATAGTTGACTGCGTACTGATATTAGAAATTGTTCAAAATTTACTTTATTTACTAACCTTAAATTAGTCAGTGAAGCTTAGTAAATACTGTATTTACACGAGCTTGTGTCGGAAAGGAGAGCAGCATACTTAATAAAGAGAGAAAAACTGCTAAGAGCTAAACATGATAGGAAGTTGTGGAGAGCCATGATCACTTATGCTCTGAAGGGACGTGGCACATTGAAGAAGAAATATTTTAATACTATTTTAGAAGCAATCTATAAGAGTAAATTACCCAATAAATATCTCATTAACATAAGAATTGCTCAACTTAAAAGATCCAGCGAAATTGGATTCATATGCTAACTTTGTAGATAGCAAATATTTTACAAACTTAGTTTCCTATTTGCTAAAAGAATCGTAAGAAAAAAGGCAAGATTTCCAGTCAAATAATAAATAATGCCCTTTTACATTAACGTCCCAAAAACAGAATGCAACCAAGATGCCAACAATGAAATGAAACAAAATCGCTTATAAATTAAACACACTAAAGTCTAAGTCATTGGTTCCCAAACTTTATGTAATAAAAAGTACATTTAAAAATTAAAAAAAAACAAAAACAGAAAAAGTATTAAAGGGAGATATTAGAGGATTATCATTGATAACTCTCTCCTCCGATTTTCGGAGCCTATTCTTAATCTTACTTATTATAAAACGCAGATTGTGTGTGTGCCTGTACGTTTATATATTGGATCGGATTTCCTACATTTTTCAACCGATTTCAACAAACTTTACAGGACTACGTAAAATTACCTTGCGGTGGTTCTGACAGTGCCAAAAATTGGAAAAATACAATTGTTTTTGCACGAAACCAATTTGAAAACACGATTAAGAGGCATCGCGAGAATGAAAGGGGGACAACTCATATCGAGTTATACTTATTATAAAACCCAGGTTGTTTGTGTGTGTGTGTGTGTGTGTGTTCGTTTACATATGGGATCGGATTTTCTACATTTTTCAACCGATTTCAACAAAACTTCACTTTTTTTTTGGCAGGTAGTGTTTCTTATTGTCTTGCACAGTTTTTTTCTTTATTTTTACATTCAGAATGCTTTAAAAATTCATTTACAAGACAATTGTTTATAATAAAATTCTATTCAATCCGTAAACTCATAACGATTTAAAAGAATGTTTTTGTTTGAGTTTGGGTTTGACCATTCGTAAAAAAAAAAAAAAAAAAAAAAACTAATTAAGACATGCGTGTCCGTCAACCTTAAACAATAATCTTTGTCAATTTTATTTTTCAGTCTTTATGATGGTCGATACTTGATCTATCTCTTACTGTTACATTCCCGGGCAACGCCGGGCTCTACTGCTAGTACTAGATATAATGCAAAAAATATCACAGTGATAAAATCGGTCAATAATTATTTATAGCTATTTATACTGGGACTCATGTATGCAATCACAAGTAGTACATAATAATATTTTAAATTTTTAAATCATATTTTTTTAGCATATGATTTTTTTAAAACTGGTTCTAAATCTTCTGCCTCACCTGCTATCATCTTCCGAAGTGCGCCACATCGTTTGGAAACCACTGGAAGTGATGTGAGGCATTGAAGCAGAACATACAAATATACACCTGGAAATTGCTCTAAAATGGAAATTTTCTCTTTTTTTTTACCCTGTTTCCTTGCCTATATTGATAACGTACTTTTCGGATAAACTCAATCAAGGCAGGTGTTTAACATCTCTTATTTTGTTTATGCAAACACGCCTTTTGAAAGCGAACTGGAAGAAATTGGGTTCGTAGCGCTCTGCATATTTTAGAGGTTTATTGTACGATAAAATCAGCCTCCTAAATCTGATGAGAAAATGTATGTAATTCTTCGGCAAATGGATAACTTATCTATAAAGCTTAGATTTTATTTGCCTCGCGAAAATTATCAGGTTGTTACATGAAATCCTTCGTTTTTGTTATCTGTTAATAGTTGTCATTAATCATTCAACGATGTATTCTTCCCCGTGATTTTTTACAACCTCCTGTCAATGATCAACTGTTTATATTTCAACGACAGACATCACTCTAAAAATTCATCATGATACGTTTTAAGATCCCCATCTTTGTTGAACGGAACTCTCGTCAACTTATTAGAAAACAAATTATATGTTATATTCCGTGTTATCGGAATATGGAATAGACAAATACGGTGAATAAATAGTAACAGGTTTATTATAGAAACCAGTACACCAAGCAAAAAAGTAATAGTTATGCGCATGCTCATCGCAAGTCAGTACAGTTGCGAGTGTGCTGTTATCGGAAGGCCGCTAGTCTCGCAGATCCCGGCTCAACGCTATTTAGTAACTGCCCCACGCAGTCACCTGTGGCACAAGGCCGAATTTAAAGTGGAGTTCCCGAGCCCGGAGGCTCATCCAAAAAATCCCCGTAGAACCCGCATAAACGGGATCGGGTCTGTCTACCTCCCCGGACGAAACTCTGCCCTTCGGCATAGCCTCGTCCGGGTTCCTCTCTGCACGAAGGCAGAGAGTTCGACTAGCACAGCTGGGAAAGATCCCAGGTTGACGCTCTCGTCCGCTGTCCTAACGGATACTTATAGGTGATTACCACCTATGGGGGTGGAAGGTTATTCCATCACATCACTATAAAAGGTGGTAGTTTGAAGGGGCTAACTCAGAATAATAATACGGGTGTGGCAGAACTTCCCAACCGATCTCTTTAATTGCATGTTTGGTCATGTTAACGGCGTGGGGTGAACATTGTCATGTTGAATAATCCTACTGTATCGCCGGTTAGGTCTCTTCAGCTGAATTGCCTCCTTGAGCCTGTTCATTTGTTCAGCAGGTAGAATAGCATTGACTGTTTGGTTGTTGATAATGACGACGAACGACAGTAAGAGAAAAGATTTTCATCTTCTGAGTCAATTCCCCTAGGCGTCTGGCGCGATTCGGCTTTAGTCAGCGCCTTCAATTGATGTCTTCAAACTGAAAGGGTCTGTCACAACACGGAGTGAATATGAGTTCGAATTTCACCTCCTTGAAATGGGAAAACAATTTCTGTTCCATTCTGTCGGTAATGAGGTCCTCTCTCTACACAGCAAAAATGTCCGAGACGTTTTGGCAGCTTTGTAACCTTGATTAAGAGCAAAGATAAGATTTCGAACATTCTCATTCTTGTCTACTTGGCATTCCATCTCAAAGGGGTGTCTAATCCAGTAACGTAAGACAACAGTTTTACAAGATGACGAGAGTTTCTAAGAAGTAAACAATGCTACAAAGGTTATTCTTCCAGATAATTCGCAGAACATCAAAGAAAACAAAACAAACAAAACGAAAGAATACAATATGCGATGGATACTTTGTCGTATAAATGGCGCAAAAACGGAAATAACACTGGCATCTCATTTTATATTTACCAAAATAACGAAAAATATATTGAAATACTAAAGAGTAAATTTATTTTTATAAAATCGCCATTGGTTTTAACGACGGCCTCCAAACAACTTCAAAATCTCCTGCAACTTTTCTGGGCAGTCTCCTGGTTTAAGTTGGTGAATGTTGTCATAATCCTTCCCTTCCTTTCATCTTTGGTGTTAGAAGGAGTTTTGTTTATCTCTCACTGAACTGCGTTCCACACATAATAATCAAAGGGATTGCATTCTGGAGAGTAAGGGGTGATGTAGTCAGAGAAATTGTCTGACAGCCACGACTGCATGTGTCGCATGGTGCAGGGCCAGACATAGGACCTTCCAGCAGCCGGTCTCTTGACACAGGGCAGCACTATCTTCTCAAAGCGCTTAATGTAATTCTCTGTGTTGAACCTGAGACCCTGTGGGAAGATAAATGGAGGCATAACATTGCCATCACTAGTGATCACTCTAAACACATTCGTAATCACCATTAGACTCTTTTTCCGAATTCTCTGCACTGTCTTCAGATTGACACCTAAACACTCTGAAATGTTTGTTTTGGAGATTCCATCGCAAATGCCAAGCAGTACAGCATGTTGTTTCCAAATTTCTGGCGGAGTGAATTGCGTCATGGTGCTGTTCTTCTCAAAGACGGTGCCCAACTGACCCTACTATACTGTGCAATCGACAAAATTAAAAACAAACAACGCGCATGCGCTAAATTGAAAATATATAAAATGGCGACAATTTACCCATCGCACCCTATGATATGTAACACCTAATATATCCAAGCCGGAAAATCCTATATCCATTTTGATATTTGGCTCAAACAGATTAGCAAGAAAGAAATCTCAAGATGAATTGAAGACGTTAGATTTCTAAAAGTACAGAATTTTACCTCTGTGGGAAGTGTGTTCAAAAGATGTCTACAGAAGGATACTGAGAATACCACGGACATATGGAACGGAAGCATTTTAAGTAAATCCGGAAGAGAAAGGGGACTTTTAAATAGTCAGGAAGCGAGAGATGACATTGCTAGGACCCATAACGAGGAATCAGGGATTGGAGAATTTGACACTTACAAAACACACTGCAAACAAGAGTGACAGAAGGAGACACCGAGAAACCAACCCTCACCAAATATAACCTTAAATTATCAAAATCAAAAATTAATTTTTGGCTTCAATTCTTTGAACGGCTTATCATGCCCTAAAGTGGCGGTTTGAATAAAGTATTGTTTATACAAATAGTCAAAATAATGCTTATTATATTATGAATTCATGATTTCATGATAATCGTCGGCTTTATCTCACATCCAAGATTTTAATTTCTTTCTTTCTGATCGCTTCTTTTATGATGATGACTAAATTTTCCCCCAATGAGCCGGTTCAGGACTACAAGCTTCCATTTTCACCAAAACCTGCCCCCATCATCCATTCCTTATCAACGTTTGGCTTTGCAACATTATGTTAAAGATGAAAGAAAACCAGAGTAGGAGAAAGTGTCGATGGCGTTAATTTGTTTAAGGTGGGCCTCAACTTGCCAATAAATGACCTACACACTTGATTTCATGACCTTCCTCTGTGATACATATGGATTGAGACATGCAGTATCCAGTTATGAAACTTCAACGGACTGCAGCTGACTATAATTTCGAGCGGCGCCTTCTGTAGCATGTCAGTGATGCGTAGCCCTCTTCATCTGCTACTTCAAACCTTGGGATCTTTTGTAATCATCACCGGCTTGTTCTAACGTTCGGATCTTTCAAGTTAGTGGCGCTTAGCCTGACACCTCGTCTTCGCCCTTGCCGCAAATGGTGACCCTAACAGGAGTTTAGAATTCCCGACGATATAGTTCTCAGAGTCATTGGACCAGGCGAGTCCCTCCGCCACGACAAGGAGCGACCATCAGAAGTATAATTCAGGATAGCTTACTCTAATAAAAATGTCTTCTTTCTTTCTACATCTATTTTGAATATTGGTTTTGCTTTTCAATAAAGAGTGATGGGCCAATTACGTACTCTGCCTCACTTAATGAAAAGAGCATAAAATCGAGTATTGAAAGATTTCCAGATTCATGGTAGGTTTTCAGTCTCAGGTCATATGCAGGTGTTTATGACGGTGGTCAGTGGGAGGCTAATATAAACTGTCTCTCTTGAAGGTGTTGCCAGGCATTTTCGACCAGAATAACGCACGCGTAGAAGTGCTGGTAAAAAGAAGGTGTGGGACGGGTAAACAGTCAAAAAGAAAAAGGCGAAAAAGAAAGAAAAAAAGGAGAGAAGAAAGGACTAAGGAATAGAAGCAAAACAGAATCGAAGAGAAAAAATAAATAGAAAGAAATATAAAAAAGAGGAAGATTAAGAAGTAAAAGGAGGGACGATAAGAGAAAGAAAGGAAGAAGCAAAAGAATTAAGTTTATAGAGATAAATGCGAAAGGAAAAGGAGAGCGAAAGAATAAAAGAAGAGCGAGGAAAATGTTCGTGGGAATGCAATAATAAGAGAAGAGTTCGTTATGAAAGGGAGATAACCAGAAGGCTTATAGCTGCAACTTGAGATATATCTACTGGCATGTCGTCATATCACAAATACGTTCCCAAATTGAATACTAACGAAGGTTTTCTTCTCCTACTGCCATCCTAAGTATTTAGGATGGAAATGATATTGGAAAATTGCCCCTGGTTTATTGTAATAAATGAAGTTGCTGAGCAGTGAGATCTTTCTTCAAATATAACGTCATTCTTGTTATGCAATATTATAAATGTATACCTTATTTGATAACATATAAGAAAACTCCATTTACATGTAATATTAGAATATTATGGAGTTAGGCGATGGATTGGGAATCTACTGCGCATGCGTAAACATTAGACTTAGCATACCAGATAACAAAATTTTCACATAGAATAGTATATTTTGGCAATTTTCAGATGAAAAAGAACGACTCGTGTCGTTTCTTGTTTTTTGTTTGTGTTTGTTTTTCGTTCTCATTGTTTGAATTCTGTTTTCGTTTCTTTCTTTCTTTCTTCCTTCCACAAAGAAAGGAAACAAAACAACTTCAAGTGAAAACTTTCCAAATAGGTGCAAACCTATTCATGTGCATTGTATTATAAAATTTATGTAAAAAAAATTGTCAAAAATAAGACCCTTTTTCCCTTATACGAGAAAAGATGTTTATTAAGCAATGAACTGTTTGAACGCAACTTTTTTAATATTTTTTTTCCTCTGAGCATGATTAGTGCATTGCTGCGTTTAACTCAGGGTAAAGAAAAGGAATATTTTAAAAAAGAGGATTAGGACGAAACTTAATCTGGATTGTTTTCAACCAATCAAAACAGCCGAATATGAAACTCGCTTTAAATCGAGGAGATAGGTTCGTCAGATTACATGGGATCAAATGAATCAATCACTAAAGTGAATATTTTAAGAAACTTAATGTAGACAATATTAGATATGTGAAACAAGAACCGCCAATGATACAAGGCAAATCGTCCGCAGCTACCATAATTTTACAAAGTTGTACCAACTTCAATAAATTTACCACGGCTTTCATTCAGCACTCTTCATTTAACAACATATGGTTCTGCAACTACGTTGACCTATCGATAGGTCAGAAGATTAACAAGACGTCGTGAACTTTCTATACCAGGAATATTTTTTAAGTTTCTCTTCTTCCTTTCTTCCTCCTTTTTTCCCTATTTCTCTATACTATGCTTTCTCTTTTCTTCATCCCTTTCTTTCTTTTTTCTTTCTTTCTTTCTTTATTCTTCCTATCCTTTTTTTCCCTTTCTATTAGCTTTATCTCTTCCTTGTTTCGTCTGTAATCCTTTCTTATTTTCTTTTTACCTTCTTTTCTGTACTCTTTGCTTCCTCTTTCATTTCCCCCCTCTTTCTCTGTTCTCTTCTTTGTCCCTTTCCTGTTTTTTCTTACTTCCATTCTCTCTTCCATTCTTTCTTCTTCCTTTCCTTTCATTCTTTTGTCCACTTTCCTTTCTCACTTGCTTTCTTTCTTTTTCCCTTCCATTCTGTGCTATTTGTTTTCTCTTTCTTTTTTTTTTCATTTCTGTTCCTTTTATTAACACCTTTCTTTTCTTTCTTTCTTTCTTTTTTCTTTCTTTCTTTCTTTCTTGTTTTGCTTCGGAGAGGCGAGATCAAATTCCAGTCGACATTGTTACATTCACTTAACGCGCAAATACTCTTTGGAAAAGTAAGAATTCACATTTTCTTCTCCCAGCTATGGATTAAATAGTAGGACTTGTATCAGCAAAGAAGAACTATTATCTCCAAAAGTGTCTTAATGCAATATCCCCTCGCAAAAGAAGGAATCATTCTTGTAATCTAAAAAATGTTTCGGCTTTATATAACTCATTGTTGCGTTCTCTTTCCTTTCTTTATTTACACCCTCTTTTCTCCGTGCATTTAATGACTGCTTTCCATTATTTCGACTCAGGTGCCGCCATTCCACTCTTCCTTCTTTAATACATATCTCTCGTTCCCCCTTACTATTGCCTTTCTTTGTTCATCCCTTTTTTCTCCTTTACTTTCTCTCAATTCTTCTTCTATGACATTTCCCTTCCTTGATTTCTCTTACATTTCGTTATTTGCTGCCGACCTTTCTCTCTTAAATTTCATTCAGATTTCCTTTCTTATGTCTTCGTTCCTTTCTGACTGCTCACATTTATCTCTTCCTTTCTTTCATTCATTTCTCTCTTCCTTCCTTTCTTCTTTCATTCATTTCTCTCTTTCTTCCCTTTCTTCTTTCATTCATTTTTCTCTCTTTCCTTCCATTTTTCTACTTTCTTTCTTCATTTCATTCTCTTTCTTCCTTTCTTCTTTCATTCATTTTCCTCTTCTTTCCATTTTTTCTTATTTCATTCTTTTTTTTCTCTCTTCCTTCCTTTCTTCTTTCATTCATTTCTCTCTTCCTTCCTTTCTTCTTTTCATTCATTCCTCTCTTCCTTCTTCTTTCTTCATTTTTCTCTTTCTTCCTTTCTTCTTTCATTCATTTTTCTTTTCTTTCTTCTTCTTTCATTTCTTTCTTCTTTCTTCTTTCATTCATTTCTCTCTTTCTTCCTTTCGTCTTTCATTCATTTCTCTCTTTCTTCCTTTCTACTTTCATTCATTTCTCTCTTCTTTCCTTTCTTCTTTCATTTCTCTCTTTCTCTCTTCATTTTCCTTTTTCTTTCGTCTTTCATTCATTTCTCTCTTCTTTCCTTTCTTCTTTCATTCATTTCTCTCTTCTTTCCTTTCTTCTTTCATTCATTTCTCTCTTTCTTCCTTTCTTCTTTCATTCATTTCTCTCTTTCTTCCTTTCTTCTTTCATTCATTTCTCTCTTTTCCTTTCTTCTTTCATTCATTTCTCTCTTCTTTCCTTTCTTCTTTCATTCATTTCTCTCTTCCTCCCTTTCTTCTTTCATTCATTTCTCTCTTTCTTCCTTTCTTCTTTCATTCTTCCTTTTTCTCATTTCTCTCTTCCTTTCTTCTTTCATTCATTTCTCTCTTTCTTCCTTTTTCTTTCATTCATTTTCTCTTTCTTCCTTTTTTTTCTCTTTCATTCATTTTCTCTCTTCCTTCTCTTCCTTTCTTCTTTCATTCATTTTCTCTCTTTTCTCCTTTCTTCTTTCATTCATTTTCTCTTTCTTCCTTTCTTCTTTCATTCATTTCATTTCTCTCTTCCTTCCTTTCTTCTTTCATTCATTTCTCTCTTTTTCCTTTCTTTCTTTTTCTCTTTTTCTTTTCTTTCTCTTTTTCATTCATTTTTCTCTTTCTTCCTTTCGTCTTTCATTCATTTTTCTCTCTTTTTCCTTTCTTCTTTCTTTCATTTTCTCTTTCTTTTTCTTCTTTCATTCATTTTTCTTCTTTCCTTTCTTCTTTCATTCATTTTCTCTTTTTCCTCTCTCTTTCTTCCTTTCTTCTTTCATTCATTTCTCTCTTCCTTCCTTTCTTCTTTCATTCATTTCTCTTCTTCCTTTCTTCTTTCCCATTTTCTCTCTTCTTTCCTTTTTCTTTCATTCATTTTCTCTTCCTTTTCTTTTCTCTCTTTTTCTTTCATTCATTTCTCTCTTTTTTCCTTTCTTCTTTCATTTCATTTCTTCTCTCTTCCTTTCTTCTTTCATTTTTTCATTTTTTTCCTTTCTTCTTTCATTCATTTCTCTCTTTCTTCCCTTTCATTCATTTCTCTCTTTCTTCTTTCATTCATTCATTTCTCTCTTCTTTCCTTTCTTCTTTCATTCATTTCTCTCTTTCTTCCTTTCTTCTTTCATTCATTTCTCTCTTCCTCCCTTTCTTCTTTCATTCATTTCTCTCTTTCTTCCTTTCTTCTTTCATTCATTTCTCTCTTCTTTCCTTTCTTCTTTCATTCATTTCTCTCTATTTCCCTTTTTCCTTTCATTCATTTCTCTTTTTTCCTTCTTTCTACTTTCATTTTCTCTCTTTCTTCTTTCCTCTTTCTTTCATTTCCTTTCTTCTTTCATTCATTTCTCTTTCTTCCTTTCATTCATTTCTCTCTTTCTTCCATTCATTTCATTCTCTTCTCTTCTTTCCTTTCTTCTTTCATTCATTTCTCTCATTTTCTTCTTCTTCCATTTCATTTTTCTCTTCTCCCTTTCTTCTTTTTCATTTCTCTTTTTCCTTCCTTTTCTTTTTTCATTTCTCTCTTTCTTCTTTCTTTATTTTTCTTCTTTCATTCTTCTTTCATTCATTTCTCTTTCTTTCCTTTCTTCTTTCATTCATTTCTCTCTTCCTTCTTTTCTTCATTTTTTCATTCTTTTTCTCTTCTTTTTCCTTTTTCTTTCATTTCATTTTTCTCTTTCTCTTTTCTTCATTTTCTCTTTCTTCCTTTCATTCATTTTCTCTTCCTTCCTTTTCTTCTTTCATTTTTTTCTCTCTTCCTTCCTTTCTTTCTTTTCATTCTTCATTTCTCTTTCATTCATTTCTCCTTTCCTTTTTCTTTCATTCATTTTCTCTTCCTTCCTTTTCTTTCATTCTCTCTCTTCCTTCCTTTTTCTTTCATTCATTTTCTCTTTCTTCCTTTTTCTTTCATTTTCATTCATTTCATTCTTTTCTCTTCCTTTTTCTTCTTTCTCTTTCATTTCATTCATTTCTCCTTCCTTTCTTAAGTTTCATTCATTTCTCTTCTTCTTTCCATTCTTCTTTCTTTCCTTTTTCCTTTCTTTCATTTCTCTCTTCCTTCCTTTCTTCTTTCATTCATTTCTCTCTTCCTCCCTTTCTTCTTTCATACATTTCTCTCTTCTTTCCTTTCTTTTCATTTCCTTTCTTCTTTTTTCATTCATTTTATTTTTTCTCTTCTCTTCCTTCCTTTCTTCTTTCATTCATTTCTTCATTTCTCTCTTTCCTTCCTTTCATTCATTTTCTCTTTTCTTCCTTTCATCTTTTTCTCTTCCTTCCTTTCTTTCATTTTTCTTCTTCTTCCTTTCTCTCTTTCTTCCTTTCTCTGCTTTCTTTTCTTCTTTTGTTCATTTCTCTCTTCTTTTCTTCATTCATTTTTCTTTCTTTTCTTTCATTTTTTCTCTTTCTTTTCTTCTTTCTTTCATTTCATTTCATTTTTCTTTTTTCTTTTTTTCTTTCATTCTTCCTTTTCTTTCATTCATTTCTCTTTCTTCCTTTCTTCTTTCATTCATTTCTCTTCTTTTCCTTTCTTCTTCTTTCATTCATCTCTCTTCCTTTCCTTTCTTCATTTCTCTCTTTCATTTTCTCTCTTTCATTTTTCTTTCTTTTTCTTTTCATTCATTTCTCTTTTCTCTCTTTCATTCATTTCTCTCTTCCCTTCCTTTCTTTCATTCATTTCTCTCTTCTTTCTTTCTTCTTTCATTCTTTTCTTCTCTTTTCTTTCTTCTTTCATTTTTATTTCTCTCTTTCTTCCTTTCTTTCATTCATTTTCTCTTTCTTTCTTTTCTTTCTCATTTTTCTTTCCTTTCTTTCTTTCATTCATTTCTCTTTTTCATTTTCCTTTCTTCTTTTTCATTCTCTTTCTCTCTTTCTTCTTTCATTCCTTTCTTCTTTCTTTCGTCTTTCATTTTCTCTCTTCTTTCCTTTCTTTTCTTTCATTTCTCTCTTCTTTTTCTTCTTTCATTCATTTCTCTTTCTTCTTTCCTTTTCTCGTCTTTCATTCATTTCTCTCTTTCTTTCCTTTCTTCTTTCATTCATTTCTCTCTTCCTTTCTTTCATTCATTTTTCTTCTTTCATTCATTTCTCTCTTTCCTTTCTTCTTTCATTCATTTCCTTTTTCTTCTTTCATTCATTTCTCTCTTCTTCCTTCTTTCTTCATTTCTTTTTTCTTTCTTCTTTCATTCATTTCTCTCTTTCTTCCTTTGTTTTTCATTCATTTCTCTTTTCTTTCTTTTTTTCTTTCATTCATTTCTCTCTTTTTCCTTTCTTTTTCATTCATTTCTCTCTTTTTCATTCTTTCCTTTTTCTTTCATTCATTTCTCTCTTCCTTCTCTTTTTCTTCTTTTTCATTCATTTCTCTCTCTTCCTTCCTTTTCTTCCTTTCATTCATTTTCTCTCTTCCTTTCTTTTTCTTTCCATTTCTCTTTCTCTTCTTCCTTTTTCTTTCATTCATTTCTCTCATTCTTTTTTCTCTCTTTCTTCCTTTCTTCTTTCATTCATTTTTCTCTTCCATTTTTCTTCCTCATTTTCTCTTCTTTCCTTTCTTCTTTCATTTTCTCTCTTCTTTCTTTTTTCTTCTTTCATTTCATTTTCTCTTTCTTCCTTTCTTTTTCTTTCATTCATTTCTCTCTTTCTTCCTTTCTTCTTTCATTCATTTCTCTCTTCTTTTCCTTTCCATTTTTCTTCCTTTTTCTTTCATTTTTCTCTTTCTTCCTTTCTTCTTTCTTTCATTTCTCTCTTCTTTCCCTTTTTTCATTCTTCCTTTCTTTCTTCTTTCATTTCTTTCTCTTCCTTTTCTTTCATTCATTTCTCTTTCTTTCCTTTCTCTTCATTCATTTCCTTTTTCTTCTTTCATTCATTTTTCTCTCTTTCTTTCCTTTCTTCTTTTTCACTTTTTCATTTTTCTCTCTTTCTTCCTTTCTTCTTTTTTTCATTTCTCTCTTTTTTCTTCTTTCATTCTTTCATTCATTTCTCTTTCCTTTCTCTTCATTTCTCTTTCTTCTTTTTCTTTCATTCATTTCTCTCTCTTCTTCCTTTTCTTCTTTCATTCATTTTTCTCTCTTCCTTTCTCTTTTTCTTTTCTTTTTCATTTCTCTCTTTTCATTCATTTCTCTCTTTCCTTTCTTCTTTCATTCATTTTCTTTCTTCTTTCCTTTTTCATTTCTTTCATTCATTCATTTTCTCTTTCTTCTTTTCCTTTCATTTTCTTTCATTCATCTTTCATTTTTCTCTCTTTCCTTTTTCTTCTTTCATTCATTTTCTCTTCTTCTTTTCTTTCATTTCTCTTTCTTCTTTCTTCATTTCACTTTTCTTTCCTTTCTTTTCATTCATTTCTTTCCTTCATCTTTCATTCCTTTTTCTTCTTTCATTCATTTTCTCTTTTTCTTTTTCTTTCATTCATTTCTCTTTCCTTCCTTTCGTCTTTCATTCATTTCTCTTCTTCTTTCCATTTCTCTTCTTCTTTCTATTCATTTCTCTCTTCTTTCATTCATTTCTCTTTTTCTTTCCTTTCTTCTTTTCATTTCTCTCTTTCTTCCTTTTCTTTCATTTTTTCTTTCTTTCCTTTCTTCTTTCTTCCTTCTTTTTCCTTTCTTCTTTCATTCATTTCTCTCTTCCTTCCTTTTTCTTTCATTCATTTCTTTCTTTTTCATTTCTCTTTCTTTTTCTCTCTTTCTTTCTTTCATTCATTTTCTCTCTTCTTTCCTTTCTTTCATTCATTTTCTTCTTTTCTTTCTTCTTTCTTCATTTTCTCTTTCTTCCTTTCATTCATTTCTCTCTTTTTCCTTTCTTCTTTCATTCATCTCTTCTTTCCTTTTTCTTTCATTCATTTTCTCTTTTTCCTTTCTTCTTTCATTCATTTCTCTCTTCTTTCCTTTTTCTTTCATTCATTTCTCTCTTTTCTTCTTTCGTCTTTTTCATTTCTTCTTTCTTTCATTTCTCATTCTTTTTCCTTTCTTCTTTCATTCATTTCTCTCTTCTTTCCTTTCTTCTTTCATTCATTTCTCTCTTTCTTCTTTCTTTCGTCTTTCCTTTCTTTTTCTCTTTTTTTCTTTTTTCTTTCATTCATTTCTCTTCTTTCCTTTCTTCTTTTCATTCATTTCTCTCTTTCTTCTTTCTTCTTTCATTCATTTTCTCTCTTCCTTCCTTTCTTCTTTCATTCATTTCTCTTTCATTTTCCTTTCTTCTTTCATTCATTTCTCTCTTTCTTTTCTTTCATTTTTCTCTTTCTTTTCATTTCTCTTTCTTCATTTTTCCTTCTTCTTTCATTCATTTCTCTCTTACTTCCTTTCTTCTTTCATTCATTTTCTTTTCTTCCTTTCTTCTTTTCCATTTTTCGTCTTTCATTCATTTCTCTCTTCTTTCCTTTCTTCTTTCATTCATTTCTCTCTTTCTTCCTTTCGTCTTTCATTCATTTCTCTCTTCCTTCCTTTCTTCTTTCATTCATTTCTCTCTTCTTTCCTTTCTTCTTTCATTCATTTCTCTCTTCCTTCCTTTCTTCTTTCATTCATTTCTCTCTTCCTTCCTTTCTTCTTTCATTCATTTCTCTCTTCCTCCCTTTCTTCTTTCATTCATTTCTCTCTTTCTTCCTTTCTTCTTTCATTCATTTTTCTCTTCCTTCCTTTCGTCTTTCATTCATTTCTCTCTTCTTTCCTTTCTTCTTTCATTCATTTCTCTCTCTTCCTTTTATTTTTTTTTTTCCTTTTTTCTTCATTTCTCCATTCCTTTCTTCTTTCTCATTTCTTCTTCCTTTCTTTTCTTTTTCCCTTCCTCTATTCTTTTCTCCCTTCTGCTTTTTTTCTCTCCTTTTATTTTCTTCCACTTTTTTTATTTTCCCTTCTTTCCATTTTTTTTTTTATTAAAGAAAGTCTTGTCTTTCACCCTCACCTAATATTAGTCTATGTTAATCTTTCAATGTACCTTTGATTTAAAATTTCTTTTTCCTTTTAATCATGAAATTATTTTTCCATATCGAGGAAGTTGATCGGAAAAAATTATTCGAAAATTACTTATTCGAATTGTAAATTGTTTAAATGAATAGTAATCGAAAGGACAATTATACTAAATGATAATTATTCGAAATACTTATGTTTGAAATACGTATGTGGTCTTGATTTGAGAGAGTCATTGGTGAATTTACCTAGAACTAATAGCGCAGTTGAAGGATGACATAGGATTTTTTGCAGCCATTGTCATCGCATCCTCCCACAATATGAAATTTTTAGACGCTCTTAAAAGAGACAAGGACTTGCAAGAAATTCATATTGCAAAAGTAAAGCAGGGTGTCAAAATATCAAGAGCGCCAAGAATTACCGCCACGTAACTGAATTTTTTTAAAAATTAGTGGAATCCTTTAAGTAGTTGACTATTTGCGTGTAGTATTTAAGACTATAAGTACTTTCTCTTACTAAATTTCTTTTTAACGATATTTGAATTTCGAGTAATTATCATTTGTGTACTTCCTCTTTTAATTTTTACATTTTTATTGTAATAAAGACACATTGAACTGAATTTCTTATCAGCTGACCTAGCAATGGATTCAATAAAATCCACCCCACCTTCATGTCAGCTGAGACCGTTAGCCAGAAGAGGTGCAATGTGTCACTCTCTTAGAGGTTAGTATTAGCCATGCTGATGGAAGGAAAGGGAGGGTCTCTCAGATGATTAATGGAGAGAAGTTTAGTTTTTGATGCGTTAAAATTAACAAGCCATTTTTGCTCCAGATAACGACGCACTTGAAGTTGTTTTGGACATCGGCTGCCATTTTGACCTTGTCGGACTGATAACCCTTACTATCAAGGCAAGAGTTAATTGTTATGTCATCAGCGTAGATACCAAATTCAGAGCAATATCCGAAAAAAAAATACTGAAGGTTTACAATATAAACTCCTTAGAATATATCCCCATTAAGTATTTCCCCCCATTAAAATGTAATTCAAAGTAGTCGAGTATCAACTTGTCAATCGTAGAATTTATATGGCTATTATCAACATTCTTAAAATATTGGGTGTTGAATTTCGAAAAGAGAATTGTTCCAATAATTTAGCTTCTTTGATGTGGATTTTGTTTTAATTCGTCCCCTCCAAGGGAGTAAAGCCACTACGCAAGGGTTTATTGTGTGTAGGGAAATTAGAAAACAAACATAGCTAAGGAGCGTGAAGAATAGAAGAGTAATCATGAAGACTGTAGATAGCGATTGACATTGCATTTAAATTTTTGAAGATTAAAGGCTGGACAGCATGGAACCAGAAAAGAAAACTTACGGTTTCATCTCGCCAACTCAACTGTAAATTGGTGAGATTTCGTCACTAATCTAGTACTGCGCTTAAATCCATAAAGTCTATGTATTTCCGAACAACTACCATGAAATCATTTATAGAAAAGGTACAGAGAGGCAACCTTACGTTTGTAGGTAAGAGACTGAAACCGAGATGCCAGATCAGGACCAATAATATTGCTGATATTTCTTTGGATTTTATCAAGGATCTCTAGATATATAGCAGGTACACCGGGCCATATGTGGCGACAATATTGTAAGATTCTGGAGAGAAAAATTTCTAACACGACATAGCGAACCAACTTTTTTAACAGGTGATCTAGCAATGGATTCAATATAGTCTTCCCTCTTCATGTCATTCGAGAAGGCTAACCCAAGGCGCAACGAGTCACTTTCTTGGAGGTTAGCATCAGTCATAGTGATGGAAGGCAGGGAGGGGTCTCTCAGATGATTAATAGAGAGCAGTTTAGTTTTAAAGGCGTTAAAATTAACAAGCCATGCTTTGCCCCAGTTAACAACAGACTGAAGGTCGTTTTTGACGTAAGCTGCCAATTTGACCATGTCCAACTGATCAGACATACTAGATTTACCTGAGATAGCCAATCGATAAACGTTAATGATTTTTAAGATTATCAGATAAATTTGTTGTTTTGTTAAGCTGTTTTTGTTTGTTTGTATTTTTTATCTTAACATGCAAAACAGTTTACTCTAGATTTTGATGGCTTTCCAAACAACGACTTGGAAATCAGGTAGAGAACAGAAAATGCAACACCGAAATTCAAAGGTGCATTGGAATAGCGAAATATATCTCCCAAAAGCTAAGCAAAATATAAAGAAACAGGAAATTTCGCCAGAAAGAAAGGAAAATAAATAAATATAAGTTTTTTAAAGAATTTTAATTATTATTTTTTAATTACAAATGGTAAGAAATTGTTTGTGTTAATAAATAAATCATAAAAAATATATTCGTTTTTACCTCTATTTTATCATTATAATTTCAAGTTTGCCATGAAATAAAAAAAAAGGCTGCAAACATTGCTCTAAGGAAATAGGCCCAGCAGATGCAATGCTCTCATGATACCAACGCCCGTCACCTTGATGAATAAGGTCTAAAAATTCTCTAAAATTTTTACACTCATACTTAACGAAGAAGACAAACTCTCCAGCGATCATCCATCGTTGCTCGTTTGTTTGCTCGACGCCATATGACATTCTCTTGGACACAAACTGTTATATTTTTTACAGTCCACGTCAAATAGGAAACTATCTTTACTGTCCACGTGACTTTTTCACACGTCCCCATTCCTCTTTAAAAGCTGCGTTCTTCTTCCTTTGTTGATTGCTGCTGTGAATTAAGTTCAGTAAAGCCTTAGTGAAAGGTTACTAGCTTTCTTCTCTGAGCAACGTAACACAAACATTATTTGCGTCATCGTCACCGGCTATGAAAAATGGTGGCTTTTAATTGATATGAAGCAGAAGTAGGAACGAGTGAGTAAAAAGCCAAGTCAAACCTGCATCCACGCAAGACAATGACCTGCATTTATTGGGATTTGGTTATTCACTTCGAAATGCCTGATCACAAAGTCAAAGCATGCAGAACCCCAGAGGCAATCAACATGGAGCGAACCACCCGGTGACACAACGTGCCTCCTCAACCCGACAACGCTCATCCCTCACGTCGTTAATTTGAGTAAAAATGATATCTAAGCGCTTAGTTTTGAATTTCTACCGTATCCACCGAATTCTGATGTAACACCTTTAGATTATCAGATTTTCCGTCGCTTTCGAACATTCTGCGGGGCGTTTTCACAAAACAACGACGCGGAGTTGAAAACGTAACTCAATGAATTCTTCAAATCAAAACACGCTGACGTCTACCGTCAAGACATTGACAAACTACTGGAACATTGACAAGAAGCCGTGAACAATGAAGGCGAATATATTATTGACTGATTCGGTAAAATTGTTGATGAATAATATTATTAAATGGAAATAAATGAACGAATTTAAGAGACAACCCAATACGTGAATCAACGATAAAAAAAACGACGCTGAACTTAATCGCTTGAGCGAACGAGGTCAGAAATTTTGAATTTGAGGGCTAAAAAGTTAATTTAACCTAAAAATAATATTTCAACTTTGAGTGACACAATAGGAAGCGATAATGCCTAAGGTAACGTAATTACAAACGGAAAATCTGTCATGTTATTTTGAGGAAAACACCAATAAAAATCCGTCTATAGTCCAGGGGTCAGTAAACTTTTTCCCAGAGGGCCAGCTGAACTGAGAATTTAGAGCACAGGCCGGATATCCATTTTGTTCAATACAATAAACTGTTTAATTTTATCTTGTATTATTCATTAATTTATTTTAGTTGAGTAAGAGTTTAGAATCATGTTATGTACGGTTTTGTTGATTGTGTGTGTGAATATGTGGCAAACAGTTTTCTTTCTGTTTTTAATTAATCATTATTAATTTATGCGTTTATTTGTTAATTATTTAGATTTTATAATGAGTTCAGGCAAAATATATGGCAAAATTCGCTGAAGTCAGTCCTTTTTATATACGGCAGTCTTCAAACCGGTTTAAACAAGTCAATGTAAGTTAAAACTTGACCACCTCATCAGGCTCGGAATCACTTTTCTGAGAAACTTCATTGCAGAAAAAAAAAGAGTTCGGATATCAAAAGTCACAGAAAGTCGGTAAATTGTTTATTTCACTGATTTTCCTAAAACTTCCATTTCTGTCAGATACAAAAATCAAATTTTAGCATTTTTACTCAGATTTATTTTAATTTTTTTTTCTACATAGTAAGTTTAGCTATCTATTGGTAATTCCATATAAATATTTATATTTTAGCACATTGGTGGCACAGTACGGCGGCGGGTCACATCAACTGACATCGCGGGTCGAATCCGGCCCACGTGCTGAAGGTTATTGACCCCCTGAGCTATACCATAGTGAATTCTCAATTTTTGATCAACCCTGTCCCTTCTGTCTAATTCTAATTTCTTTCTTGATTTCCTGTGTTGAGGACTTATCGTTATTTACGCTCGAGCTATTCATCTTTGTTGTTTTAGTATGACAACGTTTCGACCGTTGCTCCCTCCGGCCTTCATCAGATATTTGTCAATCCGGGTAATCTTTAGGTATTTTTGAACTGAACATTTTATTTAATCGCTCCGAAAGTTTGTAAAAGTATTTTTTGATAAAACCTACACATATAGGGAGTGATTGGGTAAATTGTGGCTGTATTATATTTTTAATTTCTTCAATGCGCGTTTTTATTTTGTGAATTTATAAACTGAACAGTATAGAAGGGTCAGTTGGACACCGTCTTGTAAGAAAAAGCGATCCATGATGCAATTCCCTCCGTCAGAAATATGAAAAAGGCCGTGTCTCTTCAACTACATCCGTCAGCAAGGCGTCATCGCTTAATTGCTGGTGTTCCCAGATTCACCGTGACCCAGATTACTAGCATGGCCAAGGACGCGTTCCAAAAGCTGGGCAGAGTACTGCAAGACAGGAGGCTATCTTTGGTAACAAAGAAAAGAATATTGAACTGTTACGTGACATCTTTTTTTTCTTTACGGCAGGGAATGTTGGACGATTTC